CGAGAAGTGTCCAGAAGCACTCCGCTACGCGTCGTGCTTCTCCTAACACTTCTCTCGTGTTCTTCCAACCCTCGCGTGCTTTATGACAGCACACAACATGCGCGCGCGTTTTCTAATCTTCGTTAACTTTTTTTTTTTTTTTTTTTTCGAACGTCTCTGAGTCCGCTTACGTTATGTTTCAAATATTTTCTGATATATTATTATTAAATATAGTGATTTCAGATAATCCTTTTGCATGAAATCACAAAGTTACTTTATAAAAAWTTCAGGACTTTTAAGTTTTTCAAAGAGCTTGAGCGCATTGTCTCCCCATTTTTAGAGCGCATGTCATCCTCTACAGTGTCATTGGTACTGTTTTGATGAACGGTTGYACATGGGAAGACAATTTTTTCTCAAGACAATTTCATGCATTTGTTCTGCCAGATTATGAGAAATGAGAAAACATACGCGCAATTAAGCTGCTAAATWGATTTCAAAATCTCAAGGTCGAAGATCAATTATGGCTACAATCATTTTATTCGTTTTAGGTTTGCGTTTTCAAGTTTACTCAAACTTGGCCAAAAATGACGACATTAAGATCTTAAAGCGAATTGAACTATTTCACTATGACGTCACTGCTTGTTTATGTGGGGGATAGAATCGCCAAATCCAATAGAAAATTCAACAAAGTTTGCTCCTAGCGAAACAGTCTAATCTAAAATGGCCTGGTTTTCAAATATAATATATGTTAATATGTACTAAAAAATATTCTGAGCGTTTGCTGGCTATTTTACTTTTCTTCGTGGATTGATACGGGTTTTAGAACAATTCTCGGTGAATTTGCTTTGATTTGACCCCGTCCGACGACCATGATCCTTTGCGTTTAAACAATAAATTGCTTTGATGTGACATCATAGTGAAATAGGGCAATTATTTTAAAATAAGGCGGTTACCTAAACTACCATATGCCAAGTAAGAATTTTAGAGTTTCGTTGAGCTTCATCTCTGATGTAACATAGGGCACCCGACTGAAAGTTGAAGCAGACGTCATTTCCGGTGTCATTTCCGGTAAATATTCAATAGAAAACTGCGTAACAGATTCATGAGTTTTAAGCATATAACTACTCTTTGACTCATAGGACATGAAGGGCAGTGTTGCTTGTCATCGCAGGCTGGTAATGCGGAGTTTCACTGATACAATGTATTCTMCATATTGAAGCCAAATGTATAATAGTTCCTGGTTGATATGACGGACAGTGTTCCCCTGTCTGCTCAAGTTTGAGATTAACGAGAATCATTCAGCTGGTTGACTCATCAAACATTGAGTGTCGTATTTCCCTGTGTCCCTTTTTAAGGAAAAGGACTAGGGAAGAGCTTAGCAGCCAGGTCGAGGGCGTCCGCTTATCCTT